TAAAGTCTCTGGGTTTGGAAGATCCAGTAATCAATTTTCAAATATATGTCATCAGTGAAGAGTTCCCAGCTGTCAGCTGGGCTCTTTCTCTGTCAAGGATCACTGAATTTTATATCATTCCTGAGTTGCGATCCCATCTCTCTGAGGAAATACATACAATGCCAGTTAGGGAGAGAGATTGTATACTTCTCAATGTTCCCACTGCATCAGGGGACACTGTGGTTTGTGCTCTTTTTTCCAGTTATCTAGAGTCTCATAAAAATTATGTCATGGTGAGTGTGTGTGTGCGTGTGTGTATGAGAGCGTATGCGTCTATGTGAGAGAGAGAGAGAGAGGAAGAGAGGGGAGGAGGTGAAGAGAGAGGGTGTGTGTGTGTGTGTGTGTGTGTGTGGAAAGAGAAGGCATGGAAGGTAACAAGAGCTAAAGGTAGAGAAGGACAAACAATATTGCACCCCAAACTGCAAATTCACTCTTGGATATCAACACTTATACGTGTTTGTAAAATCAATATCTAATTATTGACATGAGAGAGTTTAAGTCGGTTTTCATACGAATATCCAATGATTAGAGAACTCCCAAGACTATTCTAGGCTCACCCCATATTCTTTCCACTTCTTTGCACCCAGGTTGGTGCTCTAAGCTGATGACGGTGGGATTAGGTAGCATGAGGGTGTTACTGAGGGATAAATCAGGATGCAATGATCCTTTATTCATCTACTGTGAAGAAGGCAACTGGACAGCTTATAAGAGCAACATTCAGCTCTGCACTTCTCAGCTTCTGGTGAGTTTAAGCAAGATACAATCAAAGGGCTTTGGGCGGGGTGGGATCGATCTGGCTCTAAAATAAAGAAATGGGTGAAGAATCTGCGGGCCTGGACCAGGGCTGGGAATGAAAACAGAAGAAAACAACAGGGAAATACACCCAAACTTCCTTATCATGCCATGCGACAAGCTAATAAGTGAAATTTGATTAGTACAAGGTCACTGCAAACCTTGATTACTAACTTCATTTAGAAGAAACCCTGAATGGGCCCTCCTTTTTTTATGGCTACATAGACAACAGTTTTCTGGGAAAGGAATGATCTGGGGCACTAAATGGCCACAGAACACACAGGTCTTTACTCTCAGGATGTGCTTGAAAACTTGGCTCAGGTGCTGAGAGGCTGACATGAGAAGATAAGGACAAAGAAAGCCAGAGCCAGAGCCAGTGTGGGAATGACTGCAGTGCAGTGTGGGTGGCCTAGCCTGCTCCCCTGGATGTGAAAGTGTTTGTTCCAATCTGAAACAAGGTACTTGCTGGATTTTTGTTTATGTTTTTCTCATGGCTTTGGTTGGGTCTTCTCTGCTTCTCCAAATTACTTGATTCTGTCTGCCTCAACAGGACACTGGGTGATATTCATGGGCCCACCTCTATCAGTGGAGGAAACAGTCTTTCTGCATCTACTTCTTCCCCATCCCTTCTCTTTGTCCATAAATAATAAAATTATCTATCTGCCCATATCTCTGCTGAGAAAGAGGGAACTGGAAGTGTAGAGTGATAATAGCAGCATCAGAAAGGCTGACCCAAGAACCTTCTGACACTGCTTTTCCTTAGCTGGAAATTATGGAGGATCATCTTCTCTAGCTTCTTACAGCCGAGCTTTGCTGGGTCTAAGGAGACACTAACTCTGCTTCCCTACAAAACTGTGCCTTGAAATATCACATCGTTGCCTCCACTTTTTTATGCAGAAGAACAGTTTGTAAACTTCTAAAGGGTGAAGGCTAACATTGCTTAACAGACAGGAAAATATTACGCCTCACGAAGGAATGGCTTGCTTGACACTTTTGAAGGTAAAAATGTGGAACTTCCTCTTGTAGCTAAAATCAAGACTGATACTAGATTTAGAATTATTCAGTTCCAAGGATGCCCTTGGAATACCTAGGAAAGCACAGTCAGGATAAATTTAGCCTTTGGCGATAACTGTGGATGAAAGGACTGACGTCCAAGACAGGAGAGAGTTGTATTTGTTCTTCTCCCGAAGGTTTTATAGGGAGAACTGGAAGGTAAATCTCTTACAGAAATACTCTAGAGATTGGTTGACTGTCCTAGGTACTAAAAAATGAATGGTGCACAAGACACACAATAAACATGATAACAATTATTATCCATCCTATAAATCCCAAGGGCCATGAAGATCTAGGGAAAAACCAGGCAATGGTTAGGCAGCTCTTCCTGGGAAGAATTCTTTTACATAATGCATCACACTTAGAATTAGACATGGACTCTGTCCAAGCCTAGAGGTTCAACTTCAAAATTCTATAAACATTCAAAAGAAACTGGCAAGAGAAAAAAAGGAAGTGTCAGAGGGAGATGGAAGTCAAATGTAAGTTTTAAGTTCTTTGGAATTGATGTTAGGGGTGTCAGAGCAATCTGAGGAAGGCAGAATTCCTTTTAAGACAGAATTCTGAGTCCAAGAATAAGTTATTAGTTGGGGCACTTGAGAGATGCAGAGGATCACCCAGTAGGTGTTGATGACAGTCACCTCTTAGGTGCATGACAAGGGCTCTGCAGCAGATGGCTCAGGAGAAAGGGGATGTGGAGGGAGTACAGGTGAACTTGTGTTCCAACCACAGATTTGTTTGTATGGCTTCTTGACTCACACAAGGTCTAGTACATAGTTACTCTTTTTGAGCACTTTTCACCAAATATTTTATTTATATCATCTCTTCTAATTGTCCCCGTAACTCTAAAAAACAGGTATTATTTGATTCATTTTATAGATGGAATGAGGTCCAGAGAGGTTATACAACTTGTCCATGGTCGTATAGCCAGTTTTGTAGAGCAAGAATTTGAAACTATGTCTATTTGATTCTAAAGCACATACTCTGCACTGTTTTGGCCCCAAAGGGCAATTTGACCAATTAGAGTTACCTTAGGCCTTCACAATGATTTTTTTTTAGTAAAAGTTTGTACCATTAAATATTTGGGATATAGTTATATTTAAAAAAAAATGATTATTTACTTGAAATTCAAATTTAATTGGGTGTCCTGCATTTTTATTTGCTAAATCTAGCAGTCCTAACCCTAGTGGACTCTCCAGATGAGAGAAAGAAAAGTTCATGGTTCTCTATTATTTTGAAAAAATTGGGAAGTCCAAAAAACTTGATCTGAGAGAAATTCTCTAGTTTTTCTCTGCCGCTTTGGCAGAACTGAGATGTGTCACTTACTGGTGGCATACTCTGAGACTGAGATGTGCTCTTGGCGATTCACATGGTCTGAACCGCACTTGGGAGAGGCACAGACATTGCCTGTTTACCAGGCAGGAGAGGTCCCACTGGACAAGAATTAGATTCAGTGAGCAGAGGAGCTGGCAGGTATTTCCTAATGTCACTGAGGGCTTTGTAAGGTGATCATCTATCATCTATGGTTTGATGGAGGAGGTCACATGGTCAGGATCTCATGTTCAAGATATCACTTCTATTTCTTAATTTATTTACTCCTTTGACAAATATATATGGCATACCTATGAAATGTCAGGCACTGTTGAAATTCTGTGGCTACAGAAATTAACAAAAACTGATAAAGCATCTTCATGGAGTCTATTTTAGTTGGAGATTAAGACAAAATTTATAGCATGAGCAGGTGATCTGGAAGCCTGGCCAGGTTTCACCATCCCTTGTTCCGGCTCACAAATTAGTCAGTGCATTTCTATTGATAACGTTGAACACTGGTAAGAGAGGATGAAAATAGTAATTGGGAAAATGAAAATAAGAAAAAAAAATCTTGGAGGCAAGGATAATAATTGAACATAATTTTGAAAGCAATAAAAAAAAGTTGATGAAGTTATACATTTTAAGATCTGTATAAGGATGTGCAGTGTAGCAGAAAGAAAGATGGTTAGCGCAGGCCAAAGATTGTCCAGGAGAATCGAAGTTAAGGATGTTAGCATAAATCTATAATGGGTGAGAACGCTCAGGCAGTAGATTATGAAAGGGGATGGCTCAAGGTGAGAGATTAAGGCTATTTAAAAGTTCTTTGGAGTTTTTCAGAATCTTTCTTCCCAGGATGAATATTATCAATCTTTGTGCTAGAAAGAAAAAAAAAGAACTACTTTAGCTTAGCATATTTATTTTTTAAACTTACCTTTGTTAATCATTTTCTTTTATTTGTACTTGAAGAACGACAATGTATGTTTCTATGAAAGCTAAAATGAAAGTCTGTGAAAACCGTATTGGGTAGATTCATGGTTTAGATGGGAGAAAATGTCAAAGATTTCTGAGAAATGTGTAGTTGAAGAACCTCATGTCTGCATATGGAGTTAAATCACAAACTTACTACTTAATCACCCTGCATCGACTTCCCTATTTGTGTGTGTGTGTGTGTGTGTGTGTGTGTGCGTGCGTGTGTGTGTGTATTGGAATGTATTAAATACTTTCACGGGTATTGGTATACCTGGTTCAGTGCTTTCTCTGTCCAGATGACTACACTGTCACCCCTCAAACTGGGAGAGAAGCCTCTGGATCATGTGAGAATTAAATAAAACAAAGACTATAAAGAACAAAGGCCATAAAAACTGGGTCAATAAACATTTAGTCAGGTTATTTTGCAGCTGGATGGAAAAATATGTAAAGCTTAAACAACATATCATGCTGTAAAGCCTGTAGACATCATTTAGTCCCTTTTTCTACCTTTACAGATGGTGGAACTGATCTCAGAGGGGAAGCAAACCATTTTAATAAATTTGCATAGAAAGCTAGTGGCAGATTTATTGGAACAACATACATATCTAGATTTTTTGAAATCTATCAGTTGTCAGTTTGTATTCCACTATATTGAATGCCTCCATCGATTTATACCATATTTAAAAAAAAAAACCCTTTAAAAGATAAATTCTTCCCTATTATGTCAACACAACATACTTAGGTTCTTTATCAAGGTACTTTTCTTTCCTAGTTTACTGCAAAGGTCTAATAATCAGTGGTCCTCATACTTTGAAGAGTCCTCTTTTTTTCTCTCACAGTCTAAGGTGCCCAAAGGAGAACCATCAGCCACCCCTGGACTATCAGAATGAGTGACACTACTACTTTGGTTCCTCCAGCTTCCAACCAGGGTCCCACCACTCCGCGCAAAGGGCCCCCCAAGTTCAAGCAGCGGCAGACTCGCCAATTCAAGAGCAAGCCTCCTAAGAAAGGTGTGAAAGGGTAAGATCAAAATGAAAAAGACTTTCAATTGTTTTTTTTTTCCTACCACGACTGCTTTGATTTTGAGATTTAATGCTCGCAACATTAAATAGACTTAAAAAATTTGCACCACATTTTCCATTTTCCTCTCTATGACAATCTTTGCGGAAACATGATTTTAGCCCTGGAATACTTTCTCTCTTAGCTCCCAGGTCTATGGCCAAATATAATATGGCAAATGAAGCTTTTCACAGTAACCTTTGACTTGACCTTCCAGACTCTTCTTGACCATGTCCTTTCACCAATACACCCTGTGCTTTAATCTGGAATACAGAACCACTGGACATTTCCAGAACTCAGTTTACTTTTATGGCTTCATATCTTATGTCTTAAGTTTTCTTTTTTTTCTCTTTCACTTCTGGACAAAGTCTTATTTATTTTTCAACATACACTCATATGTTAATTTCTTTTTGAAGCTATTACTAACTCTCTTAGACAAATGTTTGCATTTTGCACATAAGGCTATCATAACTTGTATTATTTTATATTACAATTATTTATTTTCATCTGTTCCCTGAGACTGAGCTACCTCAAAGAAAATTTGTTTGTTTTTTCCTTAACTCCCTGCACCTAACACAGTGCTTGGTACATAGTAGATGCTTAATAAATGCCTTTGGGTAACTAAACAAATGTATGAATTAATCATTTTAATGCCTTCACATTGCTTTCTCATTCCAATTTCTATTTTAAAAAGTGGATCTTGACTAAATTGCCTCACTGATAATTCTTTCTGGCTCTCAGTTATCTTAGGTTATATTTTTGCAGGAGGAATATCTCTGTCCTGGGACACACTATCTAAAACCTGCCCAAGAGGCATTTTCTTTGCCTTAATTCAGTGCAAACAAAAGCAGTTTCTCAAATACAAAAGATGAAACCTTCTTCTTCTTCCCCCTTGAGTTAGGAAACTCTCCCTGTGAGTCATTCTAGGACCCATTTGTTCTGATCTCAGCTAATTTCTCTTTTATTTTTTTCTCGTAGGTTTGGAGATGACATTCCAGGCATGGAGGGGCTAGGAACAGGTCAGCCACCTAAAGACTTAAGGGAGGACTTTACACTTGGCGTTTCATCTTTTTATCTGCTTCGGGCCTCAAGGAACAGTTGAAAGTTACCAGAAAAATTTAAGGCTGCAGATCCTTTGAAGACCTAGAAATGTGGGATTTTAATTTGACCTCCTAAGGTTACGTGTGTGCCCAGATGCAAACAAAAGAAATCAGGCCAGGCCTAAAGTTTAATGAGTCTTCTTATTTTGTTCAACAGCTCTTGAGGGAATATAATGGTGAATTGTTGACTTTCGTGGTAGAAAGAGTCTCAGAGTTAGTCTAGACCAACTTCTTTATTTTTCGGAAGAGAAATCTGAGACGTAGAAAAATTAAGTGGCAACCTGAGGCCACGAGTGAGGTATTGGAAACAAGGGAGGGGCCTGGAGAACCCTTCCACTCTACCAGGCTGACCCCTCCCTTACCAGCTTCCTTTTTTACACCTACTCTGTCACCTCGAACAGGGCCCTACACACTGAAAGTATTCAATAGAATATTTTTAAATTGCCTAGAATTTTTTTATTCATTGGAAAATGAATGTCTATTCCTTTAAAAACTTAACAGGCTTTATTTTGCAGAGCAGTTTTAGGGTTACAGAAAAATTAAGCAGAAAGTACAGAGTTCCTATATAGCCCCTCTGCCACGTTCCTACCCCTGTATAGTTTCCCTTATTGTTAGTATCTTGCAATAGTGTGGTCCATTATAACTGATGAATCAGTATTGATACATTGTTATTAACTAAAGTTTATAGCCTATATTAAGATTTATTCTTTGTGTCGTTCTCTAGTTCTATGAGTTTTAACAAATGCACCATGTCATGTATCCACCATTACAGGTTCATATGGAATAGTTTTGCTATCCTCAAAATCCCCTGTGCATCTGTTCATCCCCTTCTCCCCCACAAACTCCCAACACAACCACTAATATTCTTACTGTCTCTATAGTTTGGCCTTTTCCAAATTGTCACATAGTTAGAATCGTACAGTTTTACAGCTTTTCTAGATTGGCTTCTCTCACTTAGGAATATTTATTCATTTAAACTTAAACATTTAAGTTTCCTTCATGTTTTTACATTGCTTGATAGCTCATTTATCTTTATCACTGAATAATATTTCACTGTATGGTTGTATCACAATTTATTTATCTTATTGAAGGACATCCTAGTTGGTTCCCAGTTTTAGTAATTATGGATAAAGCTGCTACAAACTTCCTCTTGCAGGTTTTTGTGTGGACGTAAGTTTTTAACTCATTCATTGCACTTTTGATAAATGGTAGCACTCATAGTAATCAGTGTCCTTACCAGGTATTTCTCAGTGTACTTGCTTTTTGCAGTCTAATGTCACTTCTGGGACTCAAATAAAATTTCTAGCCATTTTATAAAACTCACACGCCATTTTTCTGAATCAAACTGCTTCTATATTTTGGCCAGGTGCATTTAGGACCAGCAAATTCACTTTGGACTCTGGGAGATAGCTTAACTCTGCCAACATATTTGGAGTAATGGAAAGAGGTTTACACTGGGAGAAAATCTGAGGTCTTTGACCTGGTCCTAGTCTCATCTCTGCAACATTGTGATTTTTTGCTAGGTGTTTAAACTTTCTGGGTATCAGCCAGCTTCTCTATATCTCAGGGACAATAGTATATTATTGCCTAAGGCAAGGGACTGGATTAGAGAACACCTTGAGGTCACTTCTCAATTTGTGATTGGATGTAGGCATTAAAAAATGTGGAGGAACTGAAGAGAGAGTCAGAGAAGCCCAAGAGCCCATAGGGATTGGGAGGGGGTAAGGAGACCCCAGGCCACAGGAATTTAAAGCACTCTTATTTCTCATTTTAACCCTTGGCCTGACTAGAATTCTACTTCTATTTCCTCCTGGGTGGTTGTGCCTTGGGGAGGTCCTGTGTGATCAGTGAGATGTACCCCCACTGAGCATCCCCATGCAAAAGCCTTCAGTCACCTCCCTAAAGAGGATGCAGAATAAAACCAACAAAGATGCCTGGAGGGGCTGTTCTGGGGACATCAAAGCCCTACAGAGGATTAATGAAGCAACTGTTCTGATCCTTTCTGAGCTTCGGGGCCATTCTAGATAACTTTCCAGTCACCTGGACAATGATTAAGAGAGAGGAGTGCAGTGTCTCTGCCCGGAAGACTCTGTCTGAGCTGAAGAGGCTCTCTTGGGGGTGAGGATGGCTTTTAAGTTCTTCTCTCTCTTGCAGATATCACAGTGATTTGCCCCTGGGAGGCCTTCAGCCACCTGGAATTGCATGAGCTCGCCCAGTTTGGAATCATCTGAGACATCAGAGGTTCTGCCACCCTCAACAGCACCTGCTGTAACTTTGTTCACTTTTGCTCTATTGATCTGCCAGAGTCTTGATTTTAGTCTTGTTCGGAAGTGGTTTCTTTGGCTTACAGTCATTTCCTTTAAATTACTACTAAGAGTTATCTTAGTGTCAGACTCTGTCACGCAGTATAGTTTAGCTCAGAATAGTGGGTGAAAATCGACATTTGTTAGGGCATTTCAAACTTTACCACCTTTTCCTATCAGTTAGTTAGAAGTTATCAGTATTTCTTTAAATTTTGTTTATTTGTTAAGTCCTTGGAATCTCTTTTTGCTGGACATTCTTTATGATTAGTAACAGGCTTTTAAGATAATCATTTATGTCACTCCCCTCCCCTTCTCATTTAATAAAGGTAATATTTACCTCAAACCTTATGAAGTTATGTTAAATGTTATATGCAAATGATGTCTGTTCTAAAAAAAATTAAACAAAGAAGGCACAGTCATTCAGGAAATAAGCACAGTGCATGCAAAAGAGCATAAGATTAAGAGTCATGTCCTAACTCTTCTTTGTAACTTTGTAAATCACGCACTTTCTGGGTATGAATTTTATTGAACCAGGTTAGCTCTAAAGTCCTATGTAACTTTAAATTGTATAGCTCAAAGTTGGTGGAAGACTGGAGATTTAAGCTCAGGACTCTGATAGTGTGAAGCTTCTTTTTAGTGGCTCGATTCAATTGATTGAAAAGATTTATAGCATACTCTAAAGTGTAGACTCAGATGCAAAGGATAGGTAGTTGATCCCTCAAAATAAAATGGTTTGCTTCACCCCTGAAGTTGTGTCAAATTTAATGTCCACATACCTAGCTATATCTTTCCCCAATACTTTCAAGACAATTGTGCAATTCAAGTGCTGCCTCTGTCTGACTTGGATGCCTAGAGTTCTAGCAGTAGTAATTTCTTCATTTCGCTTTTGTAATCTGTGGCAAGAGAATGGAGTAAATTAACTGAAAGGAGAGGCAGGATGATAGAGAGGAAAGACATTTGGGTTTTAATCCTGGCTATACCAGTAAATTGCTCTGTAATTCTGAGGAAAATTTTCACCCTTTGAAACTTTCAGTTTGCCTGAATTCAATAATCTAAGGTTCATGGTAGCAATAAATTCTATAACTTGGAGGTTTTCGGAGTCTAAACATGGGAATTAGAGACTCAGCACTCAACAAAATTTATTCTGCTGCTGGCTCTGCACTAACTATTTTGCACAAATAGCCTAGTTACCTACTGGCCAGAAAACTAGGTGCTTACAGAACACATCTGGATTGGTTGCGGGTAAGGAGACTGAGGAATTCCAGAGCATGGGAATTTAAAATGCTCCTATTTCTCATTTTGTCTTTGGCCTGACTAGAATTCCACTTATGCTCCCTCCTTGGTAAAAAAAAAAAAAAAAGTACAAAAGACAAAGTAAGATATAAATTCAAAAGTGGAGCTATGACATGCAAGGAGTGTGGTGGTAATGTGTGCTTCTCCTCCAGCAAGAACTCCTGCCTCTACCCACACATTTATTTTCCAGTCAGTGGCTCCATTTGACAGCCTTCGGTCTGCATTTGTTCATCTTGGTGTGCCTTTCAGTCAGGGAGGTCTGGGTTCTTTGGCTGGATGAGACTCTGGTCCACATTTGCTTTACTTTGCAAATGTTTCTTTAAACATGAAGCAATAGCACTGACAAAACAGAATGCACTCGAAAGAACATATCCAATGACCAGGATAGAGAAGTATCTAGAAACCATGTTACATGAGGAACTGTTGAAGGAACTGATAATATTTAACCTGAAAGAGAAAAATGATAATTGCCAGTAAATATTTGAGAAGTTGTAGTGAACAGAATGAAGCAGATCTATTTCATGTAGGATTTTCGCGTTTAGTGGTAAACAAGAATAGATATCATTTAAATCCCATTCAAATTCTAGGATTCTATTCTTCTCTTCCTAAATTCTATCATTTCTCTTCCTTCTAATGTGAAACTAGAAAACACTTATTAAATAAACAGCATATATGAAAGAGGTAAATCATTGTCCCCATCAAAATCCTGGTAGCAGACATAACCATATTCAGAGTAATTGAGGAAGTTTAACAAAGGAACTATTTACAAAGGCTTGTGAAGAGTTACAGAGACCCTACAAAGGTACTTCAGTAATTAGGGACAGCAACAGTGTTGGGGCTACAACATCACCTACCCTATACCTGAAGGAACCGCCAAAGATCTGCTCTGACTATAAAAGGGCCCTCTGAGATGGCTGTGGCTTTCAGTAGAGAGACATAGCCAACCCACAGTGATACCCTGGGTAATTAGGAAGGAGCATGGGTCAGGATAATACACTCCAAACGTTGTTCTCCCATTCTCTACTCTCCTGTTTATGCTGACATTAGATAAACCCAACTAGGAGTCAGAAGACAAAGGAGCCCATTAGATGTGGTCAGTAAAGTTCACCTCCAACAGCAAATCAGATGCAGAAGGGTGGAGAGGGGAGGTGATGGGGCAAAGGAGGAAATATCCAGCATGGCACTATTATCGGAGAACAGATGCTATTCATCAGCCAGGGATTTGTAGTTAGAGCTGAAAAATAACATGGATATGTTTATAACCTCCAGAGTTGATTCTGATGCAAATCACTGGAGTAGAGGAAGGACAATGTTGAATAAGAGGACCACAATAGATTAATGAGAACGATTGCAGAAGGAAATTATCATAGAATTGGAGGGTTTGGAGAATTTTTTGAAATCATCTGATACTTTCCTGATAATGAGAACCATTGAGGATCTCTTATTAAAACAAAATTTGGGCCCCACTCCAAATTTTCTGAATAAGAACCTCCAAAGGAGAAATCTTAAAATCCGTATTTTTTTAATAAGGGCCCCGGGTGATTCTTGTATTTGTGCCAGTTTGGAAACACTGATGTGGTCCAAGCCTATGTTTTAAACATTAAAAATTACTTGATTCTTAACTTGTTACTACCCAGTGACTGATTTAACCAGTTCTATTTGTCCCCAGTGACATATGTAATATGTGTGAGAACGTGTTCTGACAGACTGCTTTGCTGACCAGTAAAATTGATACGCCTCAGTACTCCGGACCTAACCCAGTTCAATGCTTCTATGATTGCAGAGCATGCCAGAGAGTTCAGAATGTAAGTGTTGGACTGAAACAATGTCAGGAAGTATAGGGTCAAAAGGGCACAGTTATTCCCAGGGATGACCTCTTGCTGTTGCCTCACATGGCCACCTCCCTCAGTAACCTCTGTCCTCATCGGGACTGGGGGAAGGGGGGAGGCACCAGGGAGGGAGAGAGCTTTGTGTCGGCAGGTGGAGGCAGTGACCTTCACTTATCCTCCACCCCTTTCTTGTTTGTTCATGTCATTGGGTGGAAGTTGGGGTTGATGGTGCTGGTGATGTAAGCACCAAGCCTCGTTCTAGAGCTCAGTAGCATTACATTCAGAGCAGAAAAGAGTATATAAGGAGAAAATACTCCTCTGGAGGCTCCCACACTAGGTAAATATACACGGTTGTTATTAGACAGTTGCCACTGTGCCGTTGACCTCCACTTCTTTTTCCTTTGCTCAACGAGAAAAGCGAGAATCACCATAAATTGAGGAAATAACAGAGAATATTTTCTCAGTAACTAAGAAGTAAATGGGAAAACAGAAATAGATAAGAATAATCAGTAAGACCAATATTGAGCAGAAGGGGAAAAACCATTACATAAGGCTGAACAACACAAACACTAATATAAAACGAAGGAAATATGACACTGAATTGTTTTAAAGAGAGAAACAGAAAAGGACTTATGTTTTATCAAAGGCCAGAGGGAAAGGCTTACACAAGCCACAAATGTTGTGTGTGTATAAACTGATATAGTGCTTTTGCAATTCTAAATGTGCTGTTTGACTTTCTTCCTACTTCTTGAAGGCAGAGTCAGACTGCAAACACTAAAAATAAAAGCAAGAATCATAAACTTATTGTCTACATCAGTCACACCATTGCCTTGTGGCAAAATAATCAGAAGGCCTGAGTTCTGCCTGGCTCTGTTACAGCACCTGTTCGATAATCAGCTAATTCTTTTTTGGGTTCAACGTTTGAGAATAAAGCAAAGATATTGGACTAAATGATCACTAAGGTTCTTAAGAACCAAGTTATAAATCTAAACATAGTTCAAATATGAACAAACCATTCTCTTTATGGTCAGAAGTTATAAGGCATTGAGCCCCAGTTTCTAGCTTTTTAGAATGTGTATGTTTAACCACTTTCCTTACACATTTCTTCAGGCCCAACAATCAAATCAAATCATGTAGAGTACTGCCACCTGCTGTAACGAATGAACACTGCATGAACACTTGGAAGAGGGACCCATTTCTCTCAGAGCCCTTTTAAATCCACTAAGCTAATTTTGAATTTGTTCCCACTCATTGACCAATTTAAACTATCCATGTTTATCATGTGCATGTTTATCCAAGTACTAGATAAATGTTGAAGAGTATAGAAATGAGCACAGTACAAAGTAAGTCTCGTTTTCTCCCAATGCCCAGTGGCCCACTCCCATTCTCAGTCAATCTCTGTTACCAGTTTGCTGTGAATACTTCCAGAGCCAGTCAGTGCATACACATACTTATGTGTACATAGTATTATTCTTGGCTGTATACTCAGTGTCTAGCATGGAGCCAGGCACATAGGAAGCACTCAATAGATATTTATTGAAAGAATGAATAATAAATTCAAAGACTCTGGCCCTGACACTCCTATCTTAGCTTAAAGGTACCCTTCTTCACCTTGGCCTTGTATTCATGAGAACTCACTTGGCAAAACGGGCAAAATACTATGTTGATCTAGATATTTGTAGGTTCGGCATTTGTAAGCTCAGCTGAAACTTCCACACATTCTCTCTTCCTAAAAGTCAAGAAACATCATAAGAAGTTATAAAGACGTATTTACAGCACCTTGCTTGGCTATTCTTCACTGGTTTAGGAGAATTCTATTCCTCCGTGTTTTCAAGAATCTTCGTATAGTAAATGAATCTTTTTGTTTTCTAGTAGAGACCACAAGGATTTAAAGCATATTAGCTGCTGTTTTCAATGCTATTATATAACATAATGTCTAGAGCAAGAGAGAAGGACATTGGGGATCATTAATTGTGAGGTTAATTCACAAAGTTTCTGGTTTTGTCCTTTATGTTTCTAATGCTCAACGCTTCTATTAATACCCTTGAATGTGCTCAGGGAAACACCATGGTGGTCAACGTTGTTTCATACTTCAGAGTCTGATGTAGCCAGTGGCCATGGTGCTATAATCATTCTCATTTTTAATTATGTGGTTTGACATACCTGCCCTTTGAAGCGAGCAGTCCATTTGTACAGACAATGCCCAGGGAGATTGACATCC